ATCGGCTCACAATGTCAATATATTAAACTAAATATCTGCCAATCAATAAATCTCTATTTAATTAAAACTGCGCAATTACAAAAAATAAAAATAAAATAATAAGGTAAACGAAGTTACAATTTAAAAATTTATAATGTTAAAACGGCGAAAACGTAATATATCGCAAGGTAGGAAAGGAAGGTTTAAGGTGTATATATGCGTAGAACGTTGAGTTGTTTAAGGATTACCAACCATATTTATAAAAAAAAAAAAATAATTAGGACAGCCTGGCATCCCATCAACAACCTGACATCGTCAAATTGATCTACAAAGGACTCAAAAATCGAAAACAATCTACATGCGAAATTAAGATGTTTTCGGACGGAATTATTAAATGTGACAGTAACAATAAATGCTTGTATTTATAAGATAAATAACAATGTACATGAAACTGTTCTACTATTCTTATTTTATCTTGGGTCTATTGACCTTCTTTATTTTTATCACCTCTGCTCAATGCGACTATGAAAATATGGTGGCAAAGGTGGTATATGATTGAAAAATGAGTAATTACTCTTTTGACTGTTTTTTCTTAGAATGAGCTTTTTTGTGTTCTTTGAATGCATTATTTATAGTACTAAAGTTTGCGATTATGGTAAACGCGATTCCTGCTAAAAATGCGATGCCTTGACTTACAATTAATATCAAAGTGTTTTCTTTTGTTGTATCAATTTGTATTTTTATGTTGTTATATGGATGAAGTTGTAAATAAAGTACATTTTATATTTCTGCTTGACATAGTCATTATATTAAATAAAATAATTTAAATTATTATAAATATGGGTAACGAATTTTACATGCAGTATCGTAAGCTGTAATAAATAACTCTTTCTTTTTTTATGTTGTAATGACTTAAAATTTCACTATCAAAAAGAAAATTATATTCATTTGAAGAATTGTTCACTTAGACATGTAGTACGGAAATCGAACGATTTAAAACTTTTCACAAATTTTCATGTATTTAGAATTGTATCATTAGAATGTAAATTCTGAATTTTAATAAAGTGCTTTAAGAATGATGAATTATTAGATAGTACCTACAATGCTTTTTTACGTGAGATTGTTTAGTTTATTGGTTATCGTATTTTAGTTACGCTTGACTTGCGGGTTAGTCGTTTTTAGCTTTAAATATAACGTGGTTTACATTTAATAAAATATCAAAAAATTATGATAACCTTTTGGCTTGCTCGGAGATATTAAGCTTTTTGAAACTTTATAACCGAATCCTGATTTGCCGGTTCTTCATTATCAATCTCAATAAAATTAAAATAAATTGGCTAAAAAAAATCTTCTTAATAAGGTACAAATGACATGATTTGTAATTGGTTAATTTTGAGCTAAACTATTGATCGTTTTTTTTTATCATCACTTAGTATGACTCCAAATTGGGAATTTAATTCGTTTCCATTAAAAAAAAAAATCCCAAGTTTTCAAATTCGATAACTTGTTCTTTGAGAATATTTGGGTAATATTAAAAGCATAAATAGATACATATCTACTTTAAGAATAATGGCATGGCTCGCTTTTTTTTTGAAACACTCGAGAAATAAATTTTTTCATAGAAAGATAGTTCTTAAAGTAGTTCTTTATTATTTCCAAATTGTGAATCTTTTTTTTTTTTTAGAAAAAATAAAGATATCACATGAAAAACAAACTTATTTGGAACATTTTCACAATATTTGATAAGAAAATTCAAAGAAGAATTCAAAGTTATGGAGATGCGAAAATACATCAAATTATTAGGAAACTTCTTATAAAGATCAATTTAATATCAGGGCAAGGTTATAATAGTAAATTTTCATAGGAACTACATATAGTTTTGATTTAATTAGTCCATCTGCCATCCCAACGTTATGTACCAGAAATAAATATTCTATTGATATTTATTATAAACTATTTTAATGACTTATGTCACAGGTCATTTATCTTTTGGAATAACCAAATTGTCGGTGATTATTCATCAAAGTCATTTGGTCATTATTTATCACTTGCCAACACTGTGGTAATGGTACTTGCTTATATTAATAAGGTATTATAAAGAAAATTTCATTTTCTTGTTTTAATTTGACCTAATAACTTAAATAATCTTCTGCATCGAATTTCTTTTATCTATTGCCTTCAATATTATTGTATAAGTGGTTATATGACCAAATAATACGCCTTCAAATTCTTCTTCCAATATATCATTGGAGTTTTAATGCTAGCTTTTCGTAATAAAATAATTCTTTCTTTTAACATCATCCAGAATAGACCTTTCGGTATTCTTGTTCCACAATGAGTGATTATGACTTAAATTTAAATTTATAATGCACCACAAACCATCATTACAATAAATTCACAATTACAAGTGAACGTACTTTCGTTGATCAGGTTTTCAGAACGAGAACATAATTTTGTCCTTTTTACGTATGTTATCAGGTGTTGAGAAAGTGTTATTTATAGTTTAATTTTCCAAGACGAATAGAAAATCCAGTTTCGCGTGCAAATGATTTTATCACACGGAAAAATCATCCATGTTTTTCCACATTTAATAATTGAAGTATCTAACTTGTTTATTAAAAAAGGTATAGTTGTGGGAAACATTTAACGAAATGATTATTTGTTTATTGCTTAAATTAGTAAATGTATACGTTAAAATAGGATTCAGATTAAGTTTTCTCTTTATTGTTAGGAAGCATAAATCTTGTGATTTAAAATTTGTAATTTGAGAAATTTGTATTTAGTTGGATTGATTCATAAATCTCTTGGTTTTTAATTTTGAGAATCTTTGATGATCTTGAAGTTTGTAAATTATTGTAGTCTTTTCAGAAGTTTTTAAAATATTAATCCAATTTTTCATTGCCTTTTCTGTATTTTGAACATATGACTTATTTTAATTTAATTGTTTTTTAAATTTCAATATTTTGGATGTTTTCGTAAATTTAAATTATTTAAAAACTTTGGGCAATGTTAAATTTTGATCGCATTTTAAATATATTTGAAAAAAAAAAAAAATGATTTATTTATTGTCAGTAACACGAGATCTATTTAAACATCAATTTTTTTTACGGGTGTTAGCGTTAGTAACCAAGAAATATATTATTTACCGCTCAATCGCGCAGCCGTGATTCCTGATATCTCTGATATTGCATATTTCTTTATGTCACGTAAACAAATTAGGATAAAGCGATAAAAAATAAAAAACCTCAAAACAACTGCATTAATCTCAGTAAACATAACTTTCCAAATAAATTGGAACTTTCTTATAGCCTAGCCAAAAAAATGCAAAATTTTAAAAAATATTTTTTCTAATATAGAACCTATATATCACATTATTTTTCAAAAAGTATGTTATTATTATGATGCATAGGGTTTACTTATAACTCCAAAGCTAGTTACATTAATAAAAAAAAATTTCTTTTTTTTCTTATTATATGTTTTTGAGGTTTCCGGTCATTTATTTCATGGAGTTCATTTGACATGTAGATTTAAAATAGTTTTTTATTTTAAATAGTACATATTTAATTTAAAAAGTTTTGTTATTTACACTTTTTATTTAAAAATAACAAATTTATTTGTTTATTTTATAATATATACATTGATTAAATTAACCGAAAACTATTATGTATTTTAGCTTGGTTAAAGTTTTAGAAATTATAATTCATAGGTTTTTTAAAACAATTTATAAAAATTTATAACTTTATTATATAAATTTTAATACAAATATTTATAGTTATTTATTTATATCAATAAAAAAATTGTATAAAAAAATTTATTGTATATTTTGCATAATGCCTTTTCTTTAAATAACCTTCTCCTATTTCTAATGTATTGTAAGACGTCTTTATAAATAAATAATTATATTAATATAAAAACCATATACAACTGTAAATACAAATTGTAATAAAAATTATATACTATTTCATAATTGGCGGCGACATATGTTTCTTCATAATCTTCTTCTAAATGTTCTTCAAAACTGCAGTCACTTTCAATTGTACTATCTGATTCAATATCATGATGAGTAATAGGAGACGGTGCCATTTCAGGTCCTTCAACATCATCAAAAAAAAGCAAGGAATTCATTTTTCAATATTTGTGACTTCATTTGTTAATATTGGATTACTTTCATCAAAAGTTAAGTCGAGCTCATAATCTGAATATCATTTATGTATTCTTGCTTTAATATATAATTAAGAATTTTCAAAAAAAAAAAAAAAATCGAATAACCCGCAGCAGTCAAGTAAAGGGTATCAAATAGTTGAGAAGCTACTTAATTAGCACTTTGATATTCTTTATATACAAAAAAGTTACCATATAAATTGGAATTTTTCATGAAACAGAACACTTTATCGGGTAGGTCATTTATTAATTAAGTAAAATTTAAAATTTCACATTGCGATTACATTAATTTGTGCAAAATTATCAATTAGGAAAATTTTTCATATGATTCGACTATTATCATGCATACGTTGCGGTTATCAAGTGTAAAAGTAACAATCAGCAATTTGTGTTACATATAACTTATATAAAAAAAGTCATTTCCAGTTAATTTAATTTTAGGTTAAAGTTCGAATCTTAATGTATTTATAATTTAAATGAATTTTTATGATTTTTCAATACCATACATTTGTTTTTAACTTATTATGCAGTGTATGTTTTACTAATAAAAGAGGAGTTTAATTAGAAGCAAAAAATATTTTTCGTTATATTTTATATGTAAATGCCGATCATTTATTTACTAATTCGAAATTGCCACAGAATTTCAGTAAATACGAAAAAAAAACTCGCAGCGATTATTGGAAACTGAGGTAAGCATTATCTTAATCAATGATTTTTTTTTATTTACAAAACTAACAATAGCGTTAGAAACATTTGTGCGACGACAAATTACACAATTGATCAACATTTTGTGAAACAAATAAAAATTATATAACCACCTTATTTCCAATCTCCTTCTCACGTTCTTCCTTTCTAGCAATATGGAATTATTCTCCGGTGTTTTACCGGAAATAACAATTTCCATCATACAAAATCTACGTAATGATTTTGGGTCACTTTATTCATGTGCTTTAGTCAATCGGAATTTATGTAGGATTACCATTCCCATACTTTGGGAAGATCCTTTTTTTGTTATGTATCAAGAAGGAAGGGATAGAAGTAATTTTCTGTTCATTTATTTATTATTTCTTAACGATGAGGATAAAGAGAGGTTAAAGAGATTAGGGTGTGTAAATTTACAATCATTTAAAAAACCTTTATTTAATTACCCCAGTTTTATTAAAAATTTAAATCAAGTCCGAATGCAACAACTTGTATCGAGTTTTATGAAAAATTTATTTGATCTCGATACTATAACAATAATTCATTATGATAATATGGACGTAGAAGTTGATCACAAGATTCGCTTAAGCACGATTTGTGAATTATTAATTAAATTATTTATAATTAATGACGCTTCTTTAAATAGTTTATGTTTATACATTTCTTATGATCAACTTCTTTCTAATAGTTTTCTCAGTGAAATATGTAGGAAATCAAAATTTCTATCAGACATCAAGTATTTTACATTAGATTTTAAACAAAGTGAAATTATTCGTATTTTGCCGCCGAATTCTTCTTACCAATATTTATTAAAGTATTTACCATCAGCGATAACGACAAACAAGCATTTTACAATTTATTTTGGTTTGGAAGGTATCCTATCTGAGGAGAATCTAGAAAATTTGATTCAATCACAAACGCAACTTTTATCCCTTACACTTCATTATATATCACCACAAGTAGCCTACTTATTAAGTCCTTTTAAGTATTGTTCTAAAACTTTAACTTCAATTAAATTCAACTCTTGTGATTTTACAAACATATCATCATTGAATGGACTTTATTATCTTGTACACCTTGAATCACTTCAATTCAAACTATGCAAAGGGGTAACGGTTCAGGTTTTTCGTCCCTTACTTGACATTCCTACTCCACTTAAAATCAAAACTTTAACATTAGAGGGTCAAAATATGGAAATAAATTTTATTCGGTTATTGTTTCAAAAAGTCGGTTCTTTTTTGGAAAATTTGGAAATATATCTTTGGGAAGATATTGAAAGACAAATCGTTTTTGAAAGTATTATCAATTATTGTGATAAAATTCAATTTCTTCATTTATATGAAATTGATCATGTGGATATTCTTCCGTTTTTTAAATTAATCACTCACGTTCGCAAAAATCTCAAATATCTTTCCCTTAGTAACAAGACTTCAGATTGTATGAGTATCTCAATCAATATGGATCATTTAAGAGTTTGTTCCATGATCTTGGATAATTTGGGTCAAATCTTACCAGATTCTTTGAAATATTTAGAATTGAAGCTTGAAATTGATCCAACCAACTTGAAAATTTTTTTGGATAATTGCAAGCACATTGATGGGTTAAGCAGGTTACTGGTTATAAATAAATACAATAAGGATATTAAAATTACTTTTGAGCTTTTGAAAGAATTTGTAAGTGAGAAGAAGGTAATGAATTTTGCATATCAGGTTAAAGGTTTATTCTGCCGTGGTGATCAGAATTTAGAATGGGTGGCTAATGAAATCCAACATTTTAAAGAGTTGTATTATGATTTGATTATAAGAATTTCGGATTTTGATGTGATTTGATATTACATATTTTTTTTATTTGTTTTATCATAAATTAAAGAGATAGTGGATTTGATTAAGTTTTTCAATTGAATCAGTTGATAGATAGTTATATTTTCAAAGATTCTTTTTGATGTCTACTTAAATCAATTAAAAACTTTTGATGTATTTATTTTATGCATTTAAGGAACAAGTTTTTCATTAATAAAATATTTTATTAATCATAATATGATAAGAAATTTATAATTTCGGTCAAAGGATTATGATATTCTGTGAACGTCATCTTATCAATGAAATAATGAATACATTGTGTAAATGTTCATGTGGGTTGACAAAATAATGTAAGAAATAGGAAACAACATACCTTGTTTTTTATTTTTTTGTTGCTTGTTCTTCGATTTTTTATGTCATTGTACTTATTTCAATTCTGGGGACTCTTTTTTTTCTATCTTCGAATAGCGGTTCAATTCTTTTAATATTGATAAGATAAAATTAAGGGATTCGGAAATTATTATTATTATCAATTCAATAATTAAATGTCCTTTATTCAATTTATTATGGTATTTCGCTTTCCTTAGGGAAGAGGCGACGTAGCTAGTGCGGGCTAAAGCAGTGTTATCTTTTAAGGCAAAAGATGTGACCAGCCAGATAATTGAGACATTTTTTAGTTTGGAGATAGACGCTTCTCGAAACTTTAAATTAGTAAATACTGTATCTTAACATTGTGACCTTGTCCAAGCTTAAATATCGTTGTAATTGTTTAGTAATTTTGATGGTTTGCAATTAATTCAGTTCAAGGTTTGAAATTTAGATCGGATTTCCTAGAATAATTAAATTAATATCTTAAAATCTGATCAAATATTTGAGCAATAACATGAATGTTAGATTAAAATGTAATCATATTAAGGACGTGATTTTACTTTGAACGCCAGAATGAATTCTTTATAAAAAAAAGAAAATTAAAATATCAATTTTTTTAAATTTCGTATGGTATGCGTATGTCAAAATTTTTATTATATAAACTCTAACAATTTTTAAAAACTAATTATTTTTTCGTAGTTACAGAAATACCGGCCGAAGACAAAACAGTTGTTCACAGTTATGGTTATTTTATGTTTACAAATTGCCACAATATGGTCTAGAGGGTTAAGCAAAAATTTTAAATTGATGTGTTCGACTCACTCAAAAATATTAGATTATTTTTAATGTTGATTTCAACTCCAAAATGACTAAATTTAGTTCAATCATCCAACCTTGATTTCAAACATTTGACTGAATTTATGAAGCAAACAAAATCGGAGTGACACTTACCAATGTAAAATTTTCATTAGAAATGCTTTATTTATTTTCAAGTATTTAAATTATATTGTGGTAGTCGCACAGTATTATTTTATTGGTGTTATATATAAAATAATATGCAATACGAAATAAACGAAAGCAAATTTATATAATTATTTTATTTGCACATAATTTGTTGAATATAAAATTGAAACGGTTTGATTTAAATACAATGATAAATTTTTTTTATTTTACAAATGTCTAACAATCTCTCAAATCAAGTTGTACGTGATAGTGAAGCAAAGCAGGATAAAGTTCTATAAATAAATCCCAATGTAAGGATTTTCTATTATTTCAAAAGGTTATCAAGTTTTTAAAAGAAAGCAATCACTACGATTATTAATTGGTAGTGGTTGAAACTGTTGTATTTGTCATTTTAGCTAGTCTATTACGCCAGTATATACTTAAACTGTATCTTCAGGAACATTTGAACATTCATTTGCAAGGAGGGCATTTAAGATGCTAGACTTTAACTTTTACCTAAACTTTATTATAATGATCACAAGTTGCGTTGTAATGTTCCGCATTTAACTCATCGTCTTTTCGTGGTTGTAAAGATTTGTATTAGTTTCTAATGGAATTAGAGGAAGAAAATTGATTTGAAACTGAAACAATGGAATTGATATTAAAGTTTATGTTAAAAAAAGTATTTATGCTAAAATTTACGTAAAGGCTAAAGGCAAAAGTCATTTACGAAATTATATGACGAGACGTTAAAAATTAACATCCTATAAAAATTTCAAAGTCTAAACCTAAACTTTCCTTTACCCGTTCTATCGTTTATTATTAATTAACAATATTAATTTCATATTACAAATTAAAAATATAAATGGGTAGTCGCTCTGCATCGATGTTCGCCAATAATTAGTTGCTAAATGAGTTCTCTTTAAGAATCAGTTTAAACTAAACATTGACACCATTTATGAAGATAGACTCTGAATCTATCAAAAACGAATGTTTTCCATATCTTGAAGACAACAATAAAGCCGTGAAATAAAAATTATATAAATTAATATATAATTAAAATAAATTGTTTAAAAATTCTTTAACCGGTTAAAATATTCGATTCTTTAACTATGGCCGGAGTTAGACAATATTTTTGTAATCATAAAATCTTAATTCTGCCGGAAATTGAATTTCGACCGAAGTTACATTCATCTATTTTAACCGGTTAAAAAAATCTTTAACCGGTCGGTCAACATGTTAACCGTTTTAACTGGTAAACTTTATTATTACCTAGAATATTTCATTATTGATTGACATTTCTAATATGGGAGGCTTGCTTTTAAAATCACGTTACGGATTATATGATTACTATGTTCGTAACTACGATTTTAATAGCAAACCTCCCATATGATTAAAGAAAACCAGTAAGTCCGATTTCTTTTTATAACAATGTTATTATAAAAAAAAGAGATTACTTCTCTATTTAAAACAGAGTGTATGAGATTTTACTGGCAACGCTCCCATATGATATCAGTTAAAATTTACTATTGTAACGAAATGTAATTTTAATTACTTTTATGTATCGTAAAACATATTAATCTATTTTTAAGAGAAAGAATTTAATCAATTTAATGTTGGTCGTTATAAATATTTGATGATAAACTAGATTATTATATAATTTAGGAACATCTTATTAATAAATTGTCACATTTTATCCAGGCTTGGTGTTTATGGTTTGCTAAAGGATAAATTATAAAATAAGTATAATTATTTGTTTTACTAATGCTGACTATTAAATAGTATTTTAAGATTTTTCGTACTAGATAACAAGAGTATATACATGGCATGGTAACGATCTTTTTTGATTGACAAATATGGGCTAAAATTCATTAAAATTTGATTTAACAACTTGACGAGAAGACATGTCACGTCACTTGTCTCTTGGAAATTACTAAATGATCAATAGAGAAACTCTACGACTTACTTATAATCAAGTGTAGCAATTCCTATATTCTGTTAACATGAGTGATTTATATCGTTCAGATCATTATGAATAAGGTTGGCAGGCAAACCCGGAGGTTTCGACAGGCATCGAAATCGAAACCCGTCAAAACGTTTTGCCAAATATTTATTAAAGGCAAAATTGCGAAAGTTTCGACGGGTGGCAAAACCCATCGGTAACCTTCTGATACAAAATACAAATTTTTGAACTTAAAATTTATTATTTTCGTTTAACGAGATGAGCAAATCGTATATAGCAAAGATAACTTTCTTTTATAATATCATATATTTATAGAGAAAAAAAAAAATAAAATATTTGATCATCAAGTACAGTTATATCATTTATCTCCCATATTTTCTTCATTTAAACTCATGACAATATTCTTATTTTTCTTCTACTTCATCCATTAAACGTTCATTTGAAAAATAAAGGTTGGAACCGGATTCGACATTCGATATTCGGATTTAAATCCGGATCCGATTTTTAAAATTTAATAAATACGGATATAAAAATAAACCCGGTTCCAACCTCTTTCATCATCTTCTTCATAAGGTAATTTTTTCTAATTCTTCAACAAGTATTAGTGCTTCCAATTGAAAACCTGCTTGATAAATAATGTATTATTTTGGAAACTTTGTTCGAAATTAAAATAAAAAGCAAAAAAATCAAAAATCATTTTTATATTCTACATTGTATTACAATAAAACTGTTAAACCGTTGAAGCCGTGATCTGTGACTGTGCTAAAATAAAGTCATGTGATCCAAATGATCGACATATTTGATAAAGTTGACGAAGTTGACAAAGTTGCTAAAGTTGTCAACGTTGATCAAGTTGATCAAATGGACATATTAGATATATGGATTATATTTATCATAGTTATATTATTTATTCTCTTTGTTATATTTGTTATAGTTGATTTTATATTATTTCATTTAATATAAATATCTTGTATTTTCCCTTGAGTTGAAAAGTAACTCAAGTTGAGGTTTTAGGATAAACCAAGAGTTCAATA